TCTCTCTTCTCTCTCTCTTCTCTCTCTCTTCTCTTCTACTGGGCTTTTAAAGTTTCATATTAGTCCTATTTTGATCTGTTGACAATACGGTGCAATGTCTAATAATTTGATCTTTTGGAATTTCATTAGAAATAAAACGGTACCTTAAGTTCCTTAAGTATGTTTTGGCCAGTATAGACCAACCAATTGATGTTTGCATAATATTTCATTCCCAAAAGGTTTATTGTAAGAATTGCTTAATGTGTGGTAAAATATGGTTTATTAATTTTTATTCATAAATTTTTAAATATCACCAAAATAATTGTACTTGTATTCTGTTTTGTATCTTTAAAAATGTAAGTGAAGTATGGAAAATTAAATATCTTTTTATCAGCAGGTTTGGAAACACCTGTACCTTTGCACATGGCATAGGTGAGCTTCGTGCCATACCTAGACATCCACGTTACAAGACCGAGCCTTGCCGCCAGTACCACACTCATGGATATTGCCAGTATGGGGCACGATGTCACTTTGTTCATGACCCTGAGGAAGCGGCAGGTGTGTCCCCAATGCGAGGTTTCATCATCAGAGGCAGGCATGACAGACTTGCTAGTGCAATGCTGGCATTAGCAGAGGATGCAGGAATAGTGTCAAATCCAGATACTAGTGATGTTTTGTTAGCAAACCTGCGAAGGCTGTACGCCCTGAGAGCCATGAAGGATCAGCCAGAAATTTCCGACATTCCCACCGCTCAAGAACCAAGTGAAGGGAGTGAAGATATGTCATTCCAGTCAGATGGATTGGACTTGTCAACATATCTGCCAGACAACCTTTCAGCGAGATTGTTCGAGACCAGTAGCAACTGCAGCATGTACACATCTACCATGAGTGTTTTAGGATCGACGAGTATAAATGGCAACAAGTACGATGCCTCCCATGAACCATTAATGGAACATAGTCTAGATGCTAGTGTGGATAACAGCATAGACCAGAGTATAGACACGGGGATATGGTCAAGTGCTTGGTCCACAACCTCTAGTCTATCCACTTCTCCACCGGGTGAATCCTGGTGGGGAATGTGGGGTGGTTCTATGGCCACACCACCTCTCTCCCCAGAGAGCAGACTTGTCCCAGATGCTCCGCTGAATCTTGGACAGCCAGCAGTTACTTCATTACCCCAGGGCATTGAGATGGATTTACCAAATATTGGAATGGCAACAAAGTTTTCAGTGAAAGTTGTAACTGAAGTGATAAAGGAAAGTGTCATTGCCAACCCAATGGAGGTTTCCCGGGGCCTCCACCTTCCTTCCATTGCCGAATTGTGCCGCAATTGAAATGTACCTGAATTAGAAATTTTATTTTATATGGGAAGCTAATGCAGTAATTGTAACTTTTAGTTTTGGTTTGCTCCAGTTCCTAATCTTATGGCTAATCCGGGCCAGTTATATTTTATTCTGGACTTCCGTGTGAAGGATAATGGGGCACATTTAATGTCGACCCAGATGGATTTTAGTTAGATTTCTATGAAAATTTTCAATAGGATTTTTTTTTTTTATCAAACAAGCCAGTCTTGATGCTAGTTTTTAGGCTAAGGAAACCATAATTAATTACTCGTAGGTCAAAAGGATAAATGTTTAACCATACCATTATTTACAAATTAATAATTTATTGCTATGATGATCTCTTTTAAAGGAGTGACTGTGATATCCATAGGTAGTTTGTACCTAATTATGGAAATAAATAAGTGGATTTAGTATCATTTGTGTTATTTATGAACAATTTTGATTTGATGCCTTCAGAGACTAAACATTTAATTTAATTTTCAGTTGAACAACTTCAGTGAAATCTAATCTTGATGTATGTGAAAGGGATGCATTTTGTGGCGCTAAATTTTGTAATTCTCCTGATTTTGCTTTTGTATCGCCTGTAATAATAATGCGATTAAATTAAAAGTATGGATGTCCGTTTAGCATACAAGTAATCTTTTGAGCAACATCTTGAATCACCTGAAATACTAATCAACTGTGCAATATTTAGTCAATACATCTTGTAAATACTGAAACACTTGTGTTTGGTATACATTTGGTACCAGAATGCAACTTTTTAAAAGGGAAAAAATACTGATTATTTTAACCTTGATTGAAGTTTGCTGAATATTTTGGCCATATTTCAACATTATGTATATCATCCATATACACCATATTAAACATATTACCAAAACTGTGCCTTTGAATGAAGTGAGTGAACTGGCATTATGAAGAGTAAATATCAGAAGGACAATACACCTAACTTTATCCTAAAAAAAAAATATTCAGTGCAATGTATCATGATCTTAGGTCCATCTATAAGTCAGAAAAATGCAAGCTTATCATGCATTTCCCATCTTGTATCTTCATGATTTGAGGCAGAATATGGTGAAACAAAAAAAA